AACCTCTTAACGAGGTTTTCTTTGTTTAAAAATATATTGGTACCAAACCCGGTCGAATTTTAAAAGTTCGTCATTTAACATTCTATATATGGGTATGGAATCACATTGTTTGCCTCATTCATTGACGGATTCATAGAAGCTCACACTGCCTTTTTAACGTTAAATTCAAACTTTATTGTTTTGTTTTTATATTGTGTTTATCCCGCAAATTTTAACGTTTAAAGGTTTTAAGTTGTTACCCTTAAATGGTAAAAAATATTTCGTATACATTTAAGCCCCGCTCTTTCAATCCGTTTTGTCGTCAACTCCAATTGTACTTTTTAAATACAATTCTGCTCATTGATGTATCGGCCCCGGTTGTATTTTATCTAACGATATTTTTTACCCAATTTCGTCTAGACTTTTACTATTGGGTATCGGGTTCTGTAAATTTTCTTCAATCATTGCTCTTTGGAATCGTCATACGTTTGTGTTGCTCACACTTATAGTCGTATAGTTAAAACAACATAATTGAGCAATGAATGAGGCAAACAATTAGTGTCATAAGCCCATTATTAGTTGACATTAGATCTCTTAAAAGCCTATTCGAACAGGCGTCTTTTCTGCAATAGCGTTCACTTTGTCAAAACTCTCTCTAGTTTATCCAAACCAAAGTCGGAAAATATTTATAATTTTTACATTTTTATTTCTAGAAAAAAATTAGGAAAGAGATTTAATTGATTACAGCATACACTTTAGTATAAGAAACAACAAATCAAAATATATGTAAATAACTACAAAATACTAAGTGGTTTACGATTTATCAACTTCTAAAAACGACATCTTTTGGTGCCCGAGGTGCCAATAATAGTCAAATAATTGACCCAAATTAAATTTTTTATATTTTTTTGTGTTCATCCTTGCATCTGGATATTCAAAAGCTTAATAGACTTTTATATATTAATCAAATATTTAAAATGTCTTATCATGGCGTCAAACGGTTCTTTAGTATATACATTATTTTATGTTTTGTGCATGTATTTTAGTTCTCGTTTGAGAAGAAATGAGAGAAGCTTACTTTTGGGCTTCCCGCGCGAAACCGGCGGGAGATTTTAGTAGTTAATTAATAAAAAAATCTATTTTTAAAAATATCACTTCATTTTTGGAGGGTATCCGAAAGTAATTCTAAAGCAAAGTATCCCATTGCGAAATAATGAATTTTTTTAAGTTTAAGTCGATATCTGAGAAAAAATGAGAAATCCAGCATTGCTTTGTTTTTTACTGGAAATTTTAATCAATTTCAGATAATTCACAAGCATTTCGATCAGCTAAATATTCACTAGATTTTTGTGATTTTTATTCAATATCGAATGAACTTGCATCTTTAAAACTATGCCAAAAAAATCATTCCAATCTTATCTTTTTTAAATGTGGGTATTAATAATAAATAAATAATAAACAAAGAGCGCGAAAAACAGGCATATTTACGTTGACATACAGAAGGAATTGATGGACCAGGAGGTCCCCATAGCATTTATCATAGGCCAACATCAGTGAATAAATCATAATGTGAGGAACAAATTTTCACTTGTTGATGTCAAAACTGTACTTAGATTTGCGTTGATTTCCAATTAATTGGCGGAAAATTAAATTTTTGTACTCTCTTTTTCTTTTTAGGTTTATTACTTTTCGTAGGCCGACTTGCTGCTTTCGAAACAGCGGGTGAATATTTGCACACAATGAAACTGCAATTTAATAAAAAAGGAAGCAACTTCGAAATATATATACCCTCGGAGCTATTTCAAAAATTAAATATTTTTGAAACCATTAAAATTATGATTGACTGTGTATATGTTTAAAAGCATTGAAGCTATTATGATTTGCAGCTCCATTATTCTATAGGATATCTTTTTCCGATTTCAATAGAATTAAAAGCGTAATTCTGCACTATCACGTTATAACTAAATCAAAAAAAAAATTTAATTTTTAAATTAAAAAATATAAAAGTTAAATTTAAATTTAAAAAAATTGGCAGCTATATAATAAGTCCTCCGATTTCGATGAAATTTAAACCGTAATTCTAAAATACCATTACTATATGTCGAAGAACTAAAAAAAATTAAAAAAAAAAAAAAAAATTTATAAGTTTGTATATATCTTTCCGATTGTTCCTATGGAAGCTATATGCTACAGTCGTCCGATTCGGCTCGTTCCGACTTATATACTACCTGCAATTAAAAGACAACATTTGCGAACGTTTCATGCAGATAGCTGCAAAACTGAGAGACTAGTTTGCGTAGAAATGGACAGACTAGCAGACAGACGGACAGATCGATGCGGATCATGAATATGTATACCTTACAGGGTCGGAAATGTCTCCTTGTCTGCGTTGCAAACTTATGACTGAAATTATAATACCCTATGCTAGGTATTACTAGGTTACTCTTCGAGTAACGGCTATTAAAATTAAGTAAAAATAGAAGGGACTTGTTAAAGTAAGTATGGGCCAGTTCCATGAAATAAAAACAAACTTTTCGCAAAATGTTGATTGACCTAGTCTTTGAAACTAGCGTCGAAACCGGAGTAAGCATCAGGATGTAAGGCCGTGTGCTCACAAATAGTTGCAGCGCCAAAGTCAATTCAATTTATCGCCAACCCATTACTAAGGGTGCTAGATATACAACATTGTAGGGCTCGTTTTTCGTAGCTCAATGCAGTTGGGTCGAAAAAAATCGATTTTTTGCCCACCTCCAGTTTTCAAAATATGGAAAGTTCGAAAACTTTCGAAAACCTAAACATTGACTTTCCACAATTTTTTTTATTCTTTTAATCGTTAGCCCACCTTTTAGAATTTTGCAAAGTAAAAACTTTAGAAAATGTGGAACTTTTATGTTTTCATCATTTTTATCCAATAAAGAATCATTTGCCGACGGCATAAAAATAGTTTTTCAAAAAAACTTTTTTTAAGGGGAAAAAGTTTTTAGTTTGCAAAATTATTAAGAGGGGGCCAACGTAAGCAAACGATTCTTTTGTGATTAAAAAAATGGGTTTTCAAAAATTTTCGAACTTTCCATATTTTGAAAACTGTTGTGCAAAAAAAACTAATTGGTGGGCAAAAATGGGCAAACGATTACGCTTTTCAAATTTCAAAAATTCAGTTTTTCTTTACAATTTGGTGAAAATTTAATTTAAGAAAACACTACGTTTTCGAGAAAATCGCATAACGTTCTCAGATATTTGTTGGGCAGTAGACAGTGCGCCAACTCCAGAACAAGAACTACTCACAAAACTTATCGATCGAAACCGGACCTTAGGGGGTATTCTGGTCTAGAAGCCTGCATTTTGGGCATTTTTTAAATAAAGATTTTAAAAAATGAAAAATTATTTTAAAATACAGTTTTTTATATGCTTTTTATTGACATTTTAAGAATGCAATATAATTAATAACAAAAAAGAAAACAAATAAAATTCGGCGAGATACAGGCCGGTAGACGGGAGTCTTCAAAAACAAAGGAGTGTCCTGGTTGACATGAGATCAAAAAAAAAATCAAACATAACCAATTTTTTCGACCTTTTCGAGTTTTTTGAAAACACTTATAATCAAAATTTATTTAAGTCTGAGGCTATATTTCAAATTTTCAAGGAATCGGTTCAGTAGAACTTGAAATATTGTGTCAACCACCTCATAAAAAGTTGTTTGGAGAAAAACGCGTTTAAAGATTATGAAACAATTCTTATGGCTCGGAAACCAACGAAACAACGATTTTTTTCAAATTTCTAGATCAGAATAGCCCCTTAATTGGTGATACTTCGGCGGCTGGTTTAAATTATCGGAAGCCTTAATTAATTTGTGCAATATATTGAGGTACATGTACAGCATGGTGGTATTATTTTCCTGAATAATTTAATAAACAGTTCATTAAGTTTTCCTTAAGTTTTCGAGAAAGTTGCTTCATCGCTATCTTTATTTAATTTGTGCAAGATATTGAGATATACAGCATTGTAGGGCTCATTTTCCAAAAAAAAAAAGGTAATCATTTTATGAAAATAAGAAAGGAACATGGAAATTCAGTGAAACCACTAAACGAAGAATGAATTTCGATTATGTTAAAGGGATTTCCCGAAAAAGATATCAAACTCACTTCCGAGTGAAAACTAAAAGAGACCTGATAGAAAGTAGTAATAAAGATAAGATATTTCTATTTGTATCCTTTGCGTATCCAAATGACCGGATCGACGAATAAACTTCCATAAATAATAAATGTGCGAAATATTGTATTTTAGTTTGCTTGTAACCTATATATGTTTATGTATATTTATATTCTATGTTTGTACACATGGAAAGTAAACCAAGAAATAAGAAAATTTCATTGCGCGCTATTTCTAAAAATGGATTCGGGCGTGATGTAATTTTTTTTAGCCCGACCTCTGTTCAGCCGGCACTGATGTATATATATCCTCGCATGCGCTTGATATATGTACATTCGTTTATATATGTGTACGCGTTGTATGTGAACACTCGTTGGTATAAAAATATTCTCTATGTATTTCGTTTAAAATAAACACTGTTTCGAGATTCGCTCATTTCAAAAAAATATGCACATGTTGTCCAATATTTTTCAAAAGATTTTTTTATGAACAAATAATCTTTATATAGATGATTTACTTGTTGCTGACACATCACCTATGGTTTGAATGTTATGGTTAATACGCTTATTTCACTGCGAATCACAAACATTTAAGCCACGTTTAAAACTTTTTTAAAACTTGATAAAGGATAAGCTTAGAATTTTTGTATATGATTTAATTAATTTTGTAGAGGAAATTCCAAACACACGATTTATTTTTGTTTGGAGAGTAGCAATCACAAGAATTTTTATTTCGCTGGCTTGTATTGCCCTCTCTTATATTTTCCTTTGCACTTTATTTACCCTCTCATTTTCTCACAAGTGGTTATTATGGCAATTTTATTGTAATCAAGATAGCGATTTCCTGTTCATTTTTAATTCTCCTACACTCACGTTGCTTTTAAGTTAGCTTTTTGGCGTTTTCCACTTTAAGCGACCGCCCAAGTAATGAATATTTAGTTGGGCTCCCGTTCACACGCGTTTCAATGGCTTCAGCCCGGTTTATACAGCGGGTCGTTGTTAAGAGCGGTTTCTTGGCGTTCTCGGCGTTCTACACGTTCGACGTTCAAAATGAAACTGAAACAAACCTCAAGATGGCAAGACAGCCAACGCCAAAGAGCCAAATGCCAGCCAGAAACGACAGCGAGGCAGGGAATCAACCCCTAATGTGGCGTCGGCATTCGGCTTCCTTGCAGCTGCTAGCGTTTCGGACAAGTGTTTGGGACAAATACGTCAGCCCATGTAAGCCGGTTCTTGCCGACTTTTTAGCGACTGTTGCTGTTAATTCGACAACGAAACTGTAGTTGCAATTTCCCACGACTTTTGCCAGATGTGGTAATTGGATAACCAAATAAATCATTGCCGTGAATTGCGTAAAACTAGAATGCTTCGAGTTATTACCTCATGATTAAAGCTTTTTTTTTAGAATAAACAAGAGAAAATTCTAAAATGATTTTAGACAACTGCATACCACAGCTTGGTATATATAACACTGTGCAACATTTTAAGGGCTTTGGAGATTACTGGATTTCCCGTGAAAACCAATTTGAAGTTTGCTGGCCTGGCACCTTTTTGGATATGAAAGCAATTTTAAATACCCTTGCAGAGGGTATTATACTTTCAGTCAGAAGTTTGCAACGCAGTAATGGAGACATTTCCGACCCTATAATGTATATATATTCTATATTGAAGGTAGTATATAAGTCGGACGACTATAGCATATAGCTCCCATAGGAACAATCGGAAAAATCAATTAACAAATTTATAACTTTGCTGTTTTTTAATAATTTTTTTTAGTTCTTTGACATATAGTAATGGTTAAATATTTCAGAAGTACGTGCAATACAGCCCGTTACGAGTTATGTACAGTGAACACAAAATTTATTCGGACACCCGAGATTTTTAACTTTATTGTTAAAAGCACAACCAAAAACTAACGTAAACACAAATTTAATATTTCATTCTGAAGATTAACAGGATATATTAAAAAAAAAGTTTCAATGTTAACATCAGTAATTTTTTCAAATTGTGCTAAAAAGTATTTTTTTTTTAAACAAGAAAGAAAGCAATCTTCGGCAAGCCGAAGTTCATATACCCTTGCAGCTATTGCAAGAATTTAACATTTTTGAAAGCATTAAAATTATGATTTACTGCGTATATGTTTAAAAACATTGAAGCTATGATGATTAGCAGCTCAATTATTTGATAGTTATTTTATATATTTCTATTATTTCTATCGGAGCTATATGATATAGACGTCCGATTTTGATAAAATCTAAACCATAATTCTGAAATATTTAACCATTACGAAATGTCGAAGGACTTAACAAAAAATTAAAAAACGGCAAAGTTCAAATTTTTTTTCATTTATTTTTCCGATTGTTCCTATGGGAGCTATATGCTATAGTCGTCTGATTTTGATGAAATTGAAACCATAACTCTGAAATATTTAACCATTACTAAATGTCGAAGAACTAAACAAAAAATTAAAAAACAGCAAAGTTATCATTTTTTTTCATTTATTTTTCCAATTGTTCCTATGGGAGCTATATGCTATAGTCGTTCCGACATATATACTACCTGCAATAGAAAGACAACTTTTGGGAAAGTTTCATGCAGAAAGCTTTAAAACTGAGAGACTAGTTTGCATATAAACGGTCGGGCAGACGGACAGACAGACGGACATGGCTAGATTGACTCTACTAGTGATGCTGATCAAGAATACATATACTTTATAGGATCTCCTTCACTGCGTTGCAAACTTCTGACTGAAATTATAATACCCTCTGCAAGGGTATAAAAATTATTCAAACACTTTTAAGAATTCCAAATGAAAAGATCTTTACAATTTTTTAAATATTTAAATAATCTTTCCTTAGCACCAATCACTGCTTTTAAACCTCGACCCATGCTTTTTATTAGGTTGCTCGGTTCTATTGCGCTTATTTGGCCCCATCCAACTATGTAGCAACGACGCTTCCAAGAAATATTGCGCTGCCTAATCCTTTCTCAAGTATATCCCAAACATGTTCAATGGGATTAAAACCTGGAGATTGGGGAGGTGTTTTACCAAATACAAAGAATGTTTATATTCATCCTTTTCCTATTATCGTTGATAAAGACCATTTTTCCAACTCCACCCGCAGCTACGCACCCCCAAACCATAACGTTTCAGCCACCATGCTTCACAGTTGGAATCAAGTTCTTCTCCATCATGGCTTTATTTGCTTTTCTCCAAACTTAAGAGGGAACATAATGTCCGGATATGTAAAATTTAGATTCGTCACTAAATAGCACGGTCTCCCAAGACGAATCTGGTTTGTTTACTTGCAGTTTTCCGAACTCCAAACGCTTTAATGGCAGAAATAAATTGCTTTCGACGAGCAACTCTACCATGTGTAGGTCGTTTCGAATGGTTTTGGCGCAATTTTTTTTTTTTTGTTGCTTCCTCTTCATTTTTCCGAATTGTTGTAGATGTTTTTCTCGGATTTTGCATGACTGTAGACACAACTTATTATTCCTATTGTGCCTATGGGAACTATATGCTTTAGTCGTATAGTTTCATGCAGATATCATTAAATCTGGGATACTAGTTTGCGTAGAAACCGGCGGACAGACGGACATGGCTAGATCGACTCTCCTAGTGATTCTGATCAAGAATATAAATACTTTATAGGGTCGGAAATGTCTCCTTCACTGCGTTGCAAACCTCTGACTGAAATTATAATATACTCTGCAAGGGTGTAAAAATTGGAACAAAACAAAAAGATTTGAGTCTCATTTTCACTACCAACTGAACAGGAAAATCAAGGTTGAATTTTTAGATTTATTTATTTTTTATTTTATTGAATATTTTAGCCCAGCGCTAAGAGCATATGCTTATTGTTAAGGCACTTGTTATTATAGTATGTATGAAAAAATTACATATTATATAAACATTATTGACTTAATTCTAACACCTATAAACTATCTTATTGGAAAGAATTTTATAAAATTTAAATGTATATGCTTATTTTTCTAATAATATTTATTATTTGTAAATTTTTTTTACTTTATTTTTAAATAGAGTTGCTCTCTTAATTGTTTTAAGTTCGAGTGGTAGACTGTTTCATAATCGGATTGCATTGACGTAGAACTGCCTCTCCGAGCAAAGAGATCGACTGCGAAGGCATATATAGTTATTAGTTCGTTGAGATATTTCAGGAATAAGCATGCTGCTTAGGTACATTGGTTCGTGGCTGGTCACATTTTTATAGAAGTAATTTATTGATTTATATTTAATCCATGAGTTTAAATTAAGGTCAAGAATTTTATTAGTCAATTAAACACATTGAGATAAATGATAATGTTATTTTGCCCACGTCTCTCGAGTCGCAATGACCAAATATTTCAACATCGTAGAATTGTGTATGAACGAGGATGGCTTTGGCGATTAGCAGCTTTGTATCTACTGGCAGGAATAATTTTGTATCGGAAAGTTTTCGTAGCTCGCCATATGTTCGCCCGGTTGCTGGTCCTATGTGCTTGCTTCAAGACAATATGTAGCTGAATGTAATTCCCAAATTTACTGCGTGTTCTACGTATTCAATAAAAGTATTGTTTATAAATAAATTCTGTAGAGTTGAAGTAACAACGGGTCTTTTGCCGATGACAATACATTTTGATATTTTTTGGGTTTATTTCCAAGTCATTTTCTTTTGTTTATTTCTTTATTACAGATAACATTCTACAGCTTCAACTCACACACACCTGTATTTCTTTAACTGGACTACTAACATAGATTTGTACGTCATCAGCGTATAAATGCACTTCACATTCGGACAGGACATTGGGTAAATCGTTTACATAGATGGCGAACAACAGACGACCTAGTACGGATAACTGTGGAATTCCCCTTTACACATGCTTAAAATTGGAAATATTATTTTCCGCTGATACGGCTTGAAGTCTGTTGAAAAAATAAGACTTAATTAACCTGACTGCAGTTCTTGAAAAATTGAAAAGATTTCTTAGTTAAGTACTAAGAATGTCGTGATTCACAGAATCGAAGGCCTTGGTCGATTTGCTGGCGAATATCCTCTACCATGTCAGTTACGAAACCTTGACTGTTTATTGTGCAGAAAAGAGTTGCTTTCTAGGAAACATTAAATTGAATACAGACGTAAGGTTTTCAATAACTTCGGAAAGAAAAAATTGGATGAAAATTGGTCTAAAGTCATTGTTGGCCTTTGGTATCGGAATTATTTTTGCCCTTTTCCATACCGTCGGAAAAGAAGAAATATAAACTATTTCTAGAAATGTTAAAGATGAAGGTTATACATGGCAAAATAAACGGTAGTACTATTTTTAAAAACTTTGGGTTAATATTGTCTAGAACTTCAGCGCTGGACTTTACTTCAAGAATACAAGCAAGGACATTACATTGTCTTGAAGCCGTTAATCATTCGATCGTTCCTATGGCAGCTATATGATATCGTTTTCCGATTTTAATAAAATTAAAAGCGCAATTTTGAATATTAAATCATTTCTAGGTCGCTGCTCGGCCGCTGATTGTCGGTAATAGCTAAAGAAGAGAGACAGAACGAAAGAACTGTAAGCGGGGGTTAGGGGAGCTGCACAGACTTAGCTTCTAGTGTTGTCTATGCAGCTCGACAGATGGCGCCACCTTAACTTCGAATGTTTTGTAGAAGGAATACTTGAAGTTTGTTGGCTGAGTAACGGGTATTTAATAGTCGGGAAACATAACTATAGCCTTTCTTCCTGTTTCAAATATTTTCCGGATTGCTCCCATTGTTTTAACTACTACCTATAGCTTTAAGACTGATAGGTCAGTTTGCGTAGAAACGAGTGGACAAACAGACGCGAATAGCTAGATCGACTCTCCTAGTAATGCTTATAGGTTCGGGAATGATTACTTCTGACTTAAATAAAAATAACATTTTTACGGATATCAAAATTAACAAGAAAGAAAGCAAACTTCGGCAAGCCGAAGTTCACATACCCTTGCAGTTATTGCAAGAATTAAATATTTTTGAAAACATTAAAATTATGATTTACTTGCGAATGTATTTGTTTAAAAACA